TAGATAGAATTCCTCTTCTGGTCGTTGGCTGATTTTTAATGTTAATTAGGAATCCTAAACGGTCACTGTTAACAAGCCAGTACACACCTAGTGCACGTGCTACGAGTGTTTCACTTTCACCTTCGAGGTTCCATTTCTGCACATCTTTGGCTCGATCTTCTTCTTGAATAGATTTTAACACTTGTTTGGAGTTACTTATCCATTTTGTCAGACGAAAGCCACCTTTACTACAAAGTGTAGACAGATCTTCAATGAGTAATGCTGCTTTCTTCTCTGTGTCAACCGAAAACAAACAGTCATCTACATACAGGTTCCTGAGTACTGTGGTCACAACTGTAGGGTCAAAGTCAGAACCATATTCTTTAGCTGTCTGTTGTAGTGCATAGTTACAGCAAGTAGTAGAGGAAGTGGCTCCAAAGATGTGAACTTTCATTCTGTATTGCTCAGGGCTGGCATCCAGATTGCCGTCCTTCCACCACAGAAATCTTAGACAGTCTCGATCTAGTTCAGGGATAAATACTTGGTGGAACATAGCTTCAATATCTCCTTGAAAAGCAACTTTCTCCTTACGAAATCTTAAAAGTACACCAAGTAAACTATTTGTAAGGTCGGGTCCTTGGAGTAACTGGATGTTTAGCGAAATCCCCATATAAACTGCAGAGCAGTCGAACACAACTCTGATTTTCCCTGTTTTTTATCATTGTAAACTCCATGGTGTGGTAGGTACCATACTCTGCCGTCCTCTCTTTGTAACTGACTCTGGGGAACAGGTTCCGCATATCCCTTCTCAAATAGTTTGTTCATAAAAGTCACATAGTCATTTCTAACCTTTGGATCCCTTATCAGTTTCTTCTTCAGACTCTCAAGTCTCTGAAATCTTTGCATGATATTGTTGGGTAACTGAATCAAAGGATCCTTAAACGGAAGTCCAATCGAGTAATGACCATCTCGAATGTGAATCGATTCTGAAACTTGAGTTAAGAAGCTCTTATCTTCTAAAGAGTTTTCTTTCACATCATCTTCAAGACGTTCGGGAAAGTCATAGTTTATGGAATCTTTCACCATTTTTTCTAAGTTTCTGTCCCTTTCCTGAGCACCTTCTATAGCCACTCTGTTTACGTCAAATGATGCATTTTCTCTTATGACATTCCATACGATCCATCCTAGTCTAGTCCTCGTTGCATGAAGAGAACCGCTTGGCCCAGCAATTACCTCGAATGGAGAGTAGTCATCAGGTACATTATTCCCAATCATAATTTCAATTTTTGCATCAATTTCAGATGTTTGAATCGTTGACAGATGTGGCCACTGTTTTAATTCTTGTTGGAATGCATTCCTTTGATACGGGCATGCATTCTTTCGTGTTCACATTTGGTAGAGTTATAATATGCTCCATCGAAAGTCCACATACTTGCAGCCCACTGACGACGTACGTGTTTAGTTTCTGGGAATCCCCCATTTGTTTTTATGGTGATTTGTTTCTTCTTGCCAATTGCTCCAAGTCTATGCATTATGTTTTCTGTACAAAATGACACACTGCTGCCAGAGTCAAAGAATGCATAAGTTTCTATGCTATATGGTTTATTTTTCAGTTTTACTCTCACTGGAATAATCGCCATAGCACAGGTTGTTTCTCCGGCCCCTTTATCACTAAAGGCACTGATCTGAGGTTTAGAGATCTTGCATGTAGTTTTGACATCTGTTGACGCGGGATTAATGTTTTCTTCATCTGTAGGTTTTGCTACACATTTTGCAGGGTCATGTAGGATCGTAGGGTGACGTCTGCTGCATATGGAACACTGAAGTCTAGCTTTACATTTTTTAGTAATGTGGCCTTTCCTAAGACATCCATAACACTGTCCATTATTTCGCAGGAAGTTGTATCTATCTTGAAGTCCTTTGGTTACAAACTTCTTGCAGTCATTCAGTGCATGGGTACTACTTTCACAGAATTCAAATTTCTGTTCTCGTACTTTAAAGTCTTGTACATGTACTTCACTTGTGACATCAGTAGACGCGACAGCTCTCTTCTGGTTACGATCCTGATTCCTAGAATTTCCACCAATAGATACGTTACCATACGTGGGATCGTTCGATTTCTTAGTTTCTGTTTTCACAAAACTAACAAAGTCCTTAAACTTCCTTAGTTTTCAGCACAATATTTCTCCACATATCATGCATATACACAAGAAGTTTTGTCATAAGTCTCTTTATATTATCTGAATAGTCTAATACAGAAACACTATCGATGCTTTCAGCTGCATTCTGACACTCCACCAGGAACAAGGAGAACTCATCTAGCATCTTTGCATCCTTCACTACTGGCCAGTCTAACGCCTTCTTTATGAATGCTGTTGCGATTACCTCCGTACCGCTCTTCAAGTTGATTCATTGCTGCTGTGTAGGCTCTGTCTCCCGACATATGACTAAATCCAGACACTACTCTGTTTGCTTCTCCGAAAGTCATTTGTTCCAGATAATTCATTCTTTCATCATTGTCTTTCGTATTCGTTACTACTTTAGTATTGAATTGTCTAATGAAACGTCTATACTCTAATTGATTACCTCCAAATTTCCTTATCTCTGGTACCGGTTTTCGGAGATATTGTACGACACACTGTATAGCGTCTGATTCAGAGATCTGTGGTTTTGTTTTGATATCAAGGCAATGAAGGTCAAGTGGAGGATTTCTTCACGCTTGGGTGTGAATGTCTCTGCGTTCGGATCCAAAGGCCTCTCAAACAAGTACTGACGCAAAGTCACTATGAAACAAAGGCGTTTTTGGCGTTGGTTTTGGCGCTAATATTCTAGGATTCACAATATCAATGTAAGAATCAACATCACGAAAATCAGCATTCTCATATCTTTCATATTTCTGAAAAACTTCTGTTTTAGCATTCGCAATAGCGATATTTGTATTAAAATCCAACTCTTCTTCTTCAAGTTTTAGTTTCACTTTTGCTAACTCTAGTTCCTTCTTATGGGAAAGTGCTGCTCTGTGAGCTTTCAACTCTGCTACTCTTTGTTCCTCTTCAAGGCGTTTGGACGATATACTTGAAGCTTTAGATGTGCGAGACTTGGACTTCAAGCTTCTGATGGCTTCTTTTGTTGCTTCTACTTGTGATTCCTCCTTTACACTCTAGTGGTAGGAAAAGAACTCTTCTATTTCTTTCTTGAAGTTCATGAGGAACACATCATAGTCATAATGAGCCTTAAGGAACTCTTCTTTCTCATTCTTGTCAGTAAATTGAGATACAAGTTCATCAAATATCACAAGAAAATGTTCATAATCCTCAAGTCAAGTAGCATACTTTTTTCTTACTGTTTCTGGAGATTCATTATCAGAAAAAAGCTGTCTAATCACACCACTTGTTAACCTTAGTGTTCTGAATATTTTATTGTACTGTTCATGTTTATATACTCTTCCTTTGTCAGTTCATTTTCTGTTTCGTGTTCCCGGTTTTGCTTCTTCTGTAGCAGGCATTATGCTCATAACCTGGACCGTCCATGGAATCACGTCAATGTTGTAGTGTTCTCTAGTACCAACGACAGTACAGGTTCAATTCAATGTCCTTTATTTATATTCACATAGAAATCCTTCAATGTGTCTGACATAGATTGATGTGATGTATGTCTGGTACTTTCAATAACTTTCAGTTAGAACATGTAGAACACAACTTTACACTGAATATGGCGCTCGTGCATTTTTGGTTAACATCATAGTAAAGTATCATTCGGATAAATTTGGAATATACAGAAATAAAAACTTACGGACAAAATTGGAATTCGAAATAAAATATACAGGTTGTCCATTACACAGATAACATTATTGTAAATATTGTAAGAAATTAAATCCACAATTATTATATTTCAGTGTATGTCTTTGTCGTCTTTTATTGTGTGGTTAAAGTCCTTGATCCTTCTTTTTATCAAAGAGATAAAAGAAGATGACAACCACACTAAGATTTTCCTTGAAAAAGAACCTAAAAGTGGGAATCTAACAAAATAAATCTAAACTTTTAAAAATGTTTTGAGTCAAAATATTGCTGTTTCTATCCAGGTAGATATTGAATATTTTATCCTGTGTTTATCTAGTTATTCAGTTATATTATATAACTTTGTGAAATCCGGTAATCTGATTAGTCAATACGAAGTACTTATTTTTTAATAACGGCCACTGAAAGCGAATAATGACTCGCACGAGCTGCCTCGTTTTCACTTTCGCTTTAGACAAACATGGAAGTTCGCAAGTTGTAGGTGAGGAAAATTTAAAACATATAGTGAAGAACTCTGAGACTGATAATACAAAACAATTACTAGGATATTTGTGAATATTTTTCGGGAATAATTAGCACATACAATTTCATGGTTGAGTTCGACCTTTCCACTCAGCCAGCAGAGTTTTGACGCTGTTTACGCGATTACGGAGACTAAAGAATATCTATAGACAAACATACCATGTAAGATTGTATCTATTCTTAGAAGACATAGGTATTTATATTTTGTCAGTGCATTTCGTCTGCAAGTGTAAAAGAGAGCGATTCTCAATCTGGGGGAGGGGGTACTCTGTGTTATTCGGAGATAGATATCTTGCGTCATTATTATGATATGGTAAATTTATTGCCAAAACAATTTCCTCTGAGTAATATTGAATGAATTCTGAAACATTTACATTCAACTTATTTATGGTTAATACTATCTCTGTAAATAATAGGATGATATACAATGCACTAATAAATTTGGGAAATTATTATTTATATAATATAATAAATATGGACTCAATGCACGGTCAATATGCATTTATAATGACCCACGATGACAGATATTGACCTCAGATACATGAAGTATATCGACCTTGGGCTAGCGCCCTCGGTCGATATACTACATGTATCTTCGGTCAATATCTGTCATCCTGGGTCATTATAAATGCATATTGACCTACATTGAGTCCATATTTGTATAATAACCTGTGTTTTTTCCCCTCTACTTTTACACTAGAGACCTTTCGGGCAACAGCATAACCACAATACTGGAGAATGCATTTAGTGGTCTGTCAAGTCTACCAATTCTGTAAGTATCAAAGTTCTGATTTAATTTAAATCGATTTAAGAATTATTTTTAAATTAATACTTTTTAACATTCAGAAATTCCTTGTTTGAAGGTCTTCATGTTAAGTTTGAGTTCTTCATGTTAAGTTTTGCTTCCTATAATATTTTAAACAGTATCTAAAAACATAGATATGTAAACAGAATACTTCATCATTTTCCGTAGTAATTTGATTTTAAAATGTTACACTCGTTAAAACACTTTACGTAAATGTATTTGCTTGTTATTGCGATTCCTGTAGAGAGATAAATAGGTAGACGTAGTCTGATTTTAAATCCACGATTCACATGGAAAGACGGCAACACATATTTCTTCTTTGATATCGATGCATTGTTGCAATTGGAGAAGTGAAAAATGAATTCTGTGCTTATTTCAATAACAATATTTATCATTTAGAATCTTCGTTCAATCTAATTATTTATTTTGAAGTATTTATTTGCATGTACTTATGTCAAAGTTAGTAATTCCAAGCTTTTCTTAATTAAATAAAATAAATAATTGGTAAGCCTTTCCCTGGAGTTCTTACAATCTCAAAAATATGCCTTAAATGATGACGTCATGAAATAATCATCAATAAGTCATTTTTATCGGTAATGGAAAGTTTTGTTTTATCCTGATAAATGGATTTAACAATCAAATTTAAGGTAAACTACAGAAAAGTAAGACTAGATGCAATGCAAAACTTGAACTACATTATTTAATTCAACTGTATTTGTATTAATATAAAAGGTAATACTTTATGTAAGCAAATTCGTAATGCAGAATAAACTGATAAGAAAACAGATTTCAGAAAAGGCGCAGGAAACAAAAGTCATACAGATAACATTATTAAGGTCTTCCGTCTTAACGGAAGACCTTATAGCGATTCTATTGTTTCTTATTATTATTATTATTATTATTTTTCTGACGCAATTTCTCAAAGACTACTGGATGGAATTACATGAAATTTTCAGGACAGATGTGTTGTTTAATGGATTTGATACATCTGAGAGATTTTTTGGAAAATCGCTTCCGGTGCCAAGTTACAGACCTTTTTCTGATTTTTAAAATGACATTTTGTCCACAGATTTTCTCATAAACGGTAAAAGATATCAGGCTGAAACTTTCAGAGATTATAGATGATGATAAATACTATCCAGGACGCCACTTGTCGTCCATCGTCATTACTTCTGGTCGCTACCGGAAGCCAATTTAAAAAGTCCAATTTTTCAACTTTTTTTGTTTTTCAATTTTTTTCATTTATTTTTGGTATGTTAATAGAAACCTTTTTTATAATGCTAACTATAAAATTTGTTTGAATATTGATAAAGCTTAACTGTAGATATTAGTATTTTAAAATCTGAAACGGATCCAAGATGGCCGCTCTCTCTGTCAACTCCGACATTTCGCAATAGGGGTTTACTGAGGCAGCCGAGCGTTTGCTTGAACGAAAGTAACATAAGGACAAATGAAATGTAAAGGAATACTTGGATTGTCACGTCGTAGTTACGTTGCAATTCTGTGTCAAACGAAGTTCTTCCTAAACGTATTCTATAATTGGTTTTGGCTGGTTCTCAAAGTAGAAAAAGAAAAGACTAAATGTGCAAATGAAATTCAATACCTAATATCTTCTAATTTGCACAACGGAAAAACAGATTTTTAATAATTGTTATAAGTAAGTTTTTCAAGAAAGAATATCAATGAATACAGTAAGTATAAAACTTACCCACTTTTTTCCCATGCACATTTGTGCCATATTTAACTAATAGAAAAGACAAAATAAGATAACCATTTCTTTTTTAAAGATTGCTTCATGGAGTTTATATTAACATTATTGTCTCAAAGATCTTATTCAAGTTTTTCAGCAGAAATGGTATCCAATTCCTTGATCGTCGTAAGGGGAGCCATGTTTTTCGGCGATACATTTCAACCTCATTATGAATGTTTAAAAATTCGGGATAGTTTACTTTGGCGATAAACAAGAAATTTAAAAAAAAAAAAATAAAATTCATAGCCGTTTCACTGCTTTAGTGTTACTAGCTTACATACTATATGGCATTGTAAAATGTGTTAAATATACTTTCTAATCGTCGAAGTTTAGGCTACATGAATGTTTTTTTTATTTCATTGAAGCTTTCACAGCTATTAAATAGAACATTCCAAAGAAAAGGCGCGAAGTGTAACTCGTGGCGTTTGGCGCGAAATTATGAATAGTAACTAGCCTTTCATAATTCTAAGACAAAAGCACTGTTATACAGAGGTATAAACAAGAATATTAAGAGCAGAGGTCCAAATAGCGTAATATTTAGCGAATTGGATTTTCATGCTCGCGACTTGGATTCAATCCCCCTTGTGCGCAATATTTTTTTTCACTTTTACAGCTCAAATTTTCGGGGTTTTTTTTTCGGAATCGGACGGAAGACCTCTCGTTGCTCGCAACGAGATCGTATCTAGTTGTAAATATTATTGGAAATTAAATTCACAATTCTTATATTTCAGTCTTTTCAGTCACACCAAGATTTTCGTTTGAAAAGAACCTAAATTGGAAATATAGCAAACAAATCTGAACTTTTTAAAAATGTATAGAGTCAAAAAAAGGCTGTTTCTCTGCAGGTAGATATTGAATATTTTATCCAGTGTTTGTCTAGATAGCCAGCTATTACCTGTGCTTTTGTCTATATGTACACTAGACACCTATACAGCAACAACTTAGTCACAATACGGGAGAATGTATTTAGTGGTCTTTCAAGCCTACTGCGTCTGTAAGTATAGAACTTTTCAAAATGTATAGAGTCAAAATAGTTCTGTCTCTCTCTCTAGGTACATGTATATATTTATTATTTTATCCAGTGTTTGTCTAGTTATCCAGTAATTACCTGTGTATTTTTTGTCTACATTTACACTAGAGACCTACGTAGCAGCAGCATAACCACAATACAGGAGAATGCATTTAATGGTCTGTCACATCTACGGACTCTGTAAGTATATATAGAAGTTCTAACTGAATGTGAATCGATTAAATATTTATTTTATCACTGTTTAAAATTCAGACATTCCTCGTTTAAGGTTTTCATGTTAAGTTTTGATTCCCACAATATTCCGAATAGTATCCTAAAAAATATAAATATATGAACTAAATATTTCATCAGTTATGGTAGTGATTTGATTTAAAATATCACATACGTTAAAACATGCTCATTGAAAGGTGGCTACGCGTGTTTCTTCTTTATATCTCTACATTATCGGAGAAACGAGAAATGAATTGTGTGCTTCGTTCAATAATAATAAGTATCATTAAAACTCTTCTTTACTTTTTTTTTTCAATTTGATTATTCAGTTTGAAGATTTTATTTATATGCATATATGTCAAAGCTAGTTTTCGTGATTCGATTAAAGAATTATCTATGACCATTTAAAATTCAGCAATTCCTCTTTTAAGCACTTCTTACTGAGTTTAAATTCCTACAGTTCTCTGAACAGTATCCTAAATGACATAAATATGTCAGCATAATACCTCGTCAATAAAGCCAGTGACTCGATTTAAATTTTCCAAATTGTACTGTAAAACAAAAAGAAAAACTTCTTTCGAATTTTCGCCAATTTGACTTTTTGGTAAATTTTGATAGCCCAACTCTTTCTGAATGCAAATATACATGCATTTTGAAAATATATCATTTTTTCAGTTTTTTATGAGCATTTTAGTGAGGCGCTCCAGAAAAACTTTGACGTTACTCGCTAGAAAACGTAGGACGTCGCCTGCGTCTTAGTCAATTTTGAAAAATTCTTAAAATTACATGTAATTTAAAGAACTTCTATCGTTTTGAGAATTATAAATTTGAGAAACTATTTAATTTTTTTCTTCCACGCGACTAGTATGTAACTATTCCTTGGGGATTTCGTATGGTATTACTATTTTCATACTATTTTAGAGGAGATCTAGTTATTTCGTAAAATGGGGATGTGGGTCTAGACAGAATCTAGGACCAAAAGGGGAACCCCCTCGCAAAAAGCACATCGATCCCGATATTAAAAAAAATGTTTATGAGTCAGCATTCACTCACCAACACACACACACACGTAACTGTATTCCCTATAACTGTAACGATAGGATAACTGTATCACTAAAAAATTCAGTTGAGAAATAAATTCAGATAGGCCATATTTCAGATATGTAAACTTGTTTTTAAAAACGTTTATTCCGTTCATAAAAATTCACGAATTAAAAAATATACATTCGCTACATCCATGGAAGGGGAATTTAAAATTTTTACTTTTTTGAATATTTTATCAAATATGTACATGTATAAAGCTTAAGTTTTTATTGTTTATGCAATTTATTTTCTTCGCCTGTCTTCGTTATGGAGTAGAAACATAGTAAAGAGGCAAATAAAGGATTGTCTTATGAATGGTTTATATACCGTACCTTAAATTGAAACTTTCAATGAATTTATATCTCAAATTGAAACCTTCTTTTAATTTCTTTCTTTTTTAAAAAGTAAACCACAATAAAAATCGGTTACAAATATTTCTGCACAGCACGTTAACTTTTTTTTTTATTCTGTGGCACCTATACCCTGTTTCACTTGAACACAACATTTGTATATTTCTTTCAAGGACCGCTACTATGATCTCTAAAAAAGATGTATATTGTATAATTTAATCAAAGGGATGGTGAATTGTGCTGTTCTTGTCTCTTCTTTATATATTCACACTAAACGGTGCTTGAAGTTTCTATGCGGAATTACAGTTCCATTAAAATCGTGACAAAATCTATTTGAAACTGAAACCGGATGAATACTAGTATATTTTTACGCGAGAACGGCAGGCCCGTAGGAACCATTTTAGTGGGGGGGGGAGCTATATTTGTTTCACTTTCAGCCACCAATTATTCCTTGACAAGCAAAAAAAAATTCTTTAACGCCATGAAAGGTCATCTATTCATTTTCCTACGTGACAATTGCTAATTAACTTGACTGACACCTTATAAGCTTTTCTCATTCCGATGCGATTGTCTTATCCAATCATGAAATATTACGTCCAACACACGTTAACTTTATGTTTTTGTATGAGGCGATGCTGTTAATTAAGTAATAACATACCGCTTTTATTTGACTTTCTTTTGCTTAAAATATTTAGGCAAACCATTTTATTCCTAGTTTCATACCAAACATATCAAAATTATTAAAAACAAAAAAACAAAAAACATTTGACTCGCATCTTCGCCTGTCCCCACGCATCTCGTTTGAAAAAAGGGGAGGGGGTTCATTAGCTAGAAATTCGTATGTCTTTTCGCTTAATCTATAGTTTTTTCTTTTGGATTATAAATATCTTCATTCATACAATGAAGCGCACTGAAGTGGTAAAATTTTCCCTTTGGACGAAACGTTCTGAGTCATGTTTTGAACGTCAATTATAACATAATGACACGCCCATTTCTTTAGAAACGAGAAAGGAATATTCGTCGTAATGTTTTAGGACACTACACTTTCCGCGACAAGCAACATGAGTTACACTGAAATGAAGATTTTTAAATAGGAAAGAGCTATGTATAGAGTTCCCGCCTTATGTAAAACACGCATTGCATCGAATTTGTACATAATTATGATTTTATCATGTTTATTGGAGTTAGCATAGCACATGTATCAGTCGAACACGTGCTTAATCGGTGTTTATGTAGACCGTCAATTTCATTGGCTATTATATTTATAAAATACCTGTTATACAGGTATTCGATTGAATCATTTGACCGATTTTTCCTTTCTTTAGAACTGGGTGTGTCTAAAGATAGCTCAAAACGTTCCATCCAAACAGAAAATTTTACCACTTCAATGCGCTTCATTGTAATATCACTGTCGATGTAATATTGTTAATTTCTTCAACGTTGGGTACATATTGGTTCTGCAGCAAAGAACTGCGAACGATAGAATTTTTCTCCCACCTACCTCCAAGTCAATTTTCAATGTAAAAATCAATGAAAAACGAAAGATATTTTTAAAACATCCGTCCCCACCCGTAACACAAAAATTCCTTTTTACGGGTAATATGGAATGTTATTTCAAAAATTTTATATATCACGGGAGGATATATTTATTAACAAAAAACGACAAAAATGTTTATTTTCAATGCCAATTTCAAAGCGATTGAAACATTATATTTTATCAATATATTTGTTTTATTTATTTGCCAAATCAGAAGAAAATATATAAGGAACATTTAATCACATCCAAGACTATTTCAAAGTATGGTGATGCATAAAAGTCCGATTTCAATGGGAAATTATCGTCTACCTCCCCCCCCCCTTTTAAGAGCTAGAATTATAGATAATTTATTATTTATCCCTGGTATCACGACAATTCATCAATTTTTATTGAAATATTCTTTGTATTGAAGAAAGAAATGTTGGCCAAATGGCCATTTATATTTATTTATATGGCTGCAAAATGTAGGCGGGAATCAAGAGTAAGTGTGCGTATTTTTAAAAACTCATCTTCTATTTGATATCAGATGAAAAATAATTCTGCATTTATTTTATTTTATTCCATATTGCCAATCTGTATTGTATAAATGATTTTTTAATCAATTCAAGAAATCAAAACCTAAGACCAAGATAAGTAAATGTATATATATTTCCTCTATGAGGAAAACGAACGCGATTTTTATTTATCGATACTACGTTGCCTTTCAAGTTTTAATACTTACATTTGCAAATATCTTTCTTAGATGAACCTATTGAAGAAAAAATATGTTCAATTCTGTGTGAATGTTATTAGGGGGTCAGAGGTCATAGCGCGGCCGAATTACAGAACGAGATGATATTTTGTCTACACATTTCTGTCACTGTGCAACTTGTTTCGGAATATAATTCAATATTTCTGTGTTAAAAACGATGAAAAAGATAAAATAATAAACAATATGGATATTTTTCAATCACAAGAAGACTTCTTTCGATGTAAAATGTAAGGTTTTGAATACCCTAATTAACCTAAAACAGCACTTACTTTTTAACCTGATATTCCTATATATTCCTTCCGATACGCGATCATATCCTACTGAGAAGCCCTTCGAATTCGGGCTTCACAGGATTTGATCACATGACCAACTAAAAGTTCATTTAAAAGAAAACTTTTTTAACATTGTTGTGTTTTTTAATTAAACGATTTCTTGTTAGTAAAAACATAATAAATGGTAGTAATCAAATGTTGAACCCGCTTTTGATTGATAAGTCTGGATTTTGAATTTCGAAACTCGAATTTCAAATTTCGTATTTCGAATCTCTTATTTCTAAACTTGAATCTCGAATGAGCCTTCTGGGCTTTCGTAGCTTAGACCCATTATGCAACCAAATTGTTAAGGAAATTAATATCTTTTGAAAAAACATACAGAAAACTCTTATTATACCATATCTTTACATGTATTTTGTTTTGAGACAAATGTTTGAAAGTTCAGGGGGGGGGGGGGTTATATTAAAAAATTAAATCAAAAAAGGATGGAATTCACACTATTTTTGCAGTTTGAAGTATTTATTTATTTCATAGTTGTTCCAGGTTTTTCTTTCATAACGTAAAAAACTAATTGTTAAGCTTTACTTTGAACTATTTACTATGCCAAAAACAGGCATTGTACGATGGCGTCATATAAAAAAAGTCAACAACAAAACCCATTTTTATCGATAATTGAAACTTCTGCAATGGTTTTAACAATACATTTACATGTAACAAAAGTAATTTTCCAATTTGTTAGACTTGATACAATGCAAAGCTAACTACATTATCTAATTCAATGTTTTCCTGTGATTTGAAAATATCATTCCTTGTGTTATCATATTTATTATGAAGAATAAACTGATAAAGAAATAGAAATGAGAAAAATAGCAGAAACAAAAAAAAAGGATACAGAAAACATTTTCATTAATATTGTTATTGGTGACTTGTGGCCCCCGGTAAATTGACAAAAAATTAAATGTGTAAATTTACTCAAA